ACGCTGCTCTCAGCCACCCAGGCTCCACGCGCCTCAAGGATACCATGCGCATCCATTTTCACAATCCAAAGTTATCTAATGTTATTGAAGACTTTACCTCAAAATGCGACACATGTCAACAACACAAAGCTGTCGATAGAGGCCACGGCCACACTGCTCCCAAGGAAGCTCCACTCATCCCCTGGCAACAACTCACAGTTGATCTCATCGGTCCTTGGACACTCATGGTGGCAGGACAAGAGATCGAGTTCAGAGCCTTGACAATCATTGACCTAGTGATCAACCTGGTCGAAATTGTGCGCATTAAGGACAAAACTTTCAACATCAATGATGCCAAACAATTAGTTGACACTGCCATTGCAAATGCAGTGTATGCACACCGCTGCTCTTATCACGGAACTATAACCGCTACGCCCGGATCACTTGCCTACCCTTACCATTCAACTTGCTCCTCATGTAATTGAACGCGTCTCCTTACGACAAGTCAAACCTTACCAACGATGAAGTGGTTTCATCCTACTTGCAAGGTTCCCTTCTATCTCCCGCGTCGGGTCCTCTGGAATCTAGAGGATAACCTTGCATGGCAGAATGTCGTGGCTCACATTAGTCCACTAGTCCAACTAGTCGAATCATATCAGTCGAATGAACATCGATTACTCTGATATGAGTACTTCTACAAACGCCCCCTTACTCAGCATGCCCACAGTAGTCTTGTCAAAAGCAATCTTGCCAAATGTCTAGTACATCTATTACCTATGCTACGAGCCGACAGTGATGTGGCAATGAGGTGGCGACAGTCTGACGAATACATCTTATCAAGACTGCAGTAGAAGTTGTGTGTCTCCAGTACACACCTTCTCTTCTGATGTCAGTATGGCTATTGCATTCTGCCCAGGGAAGTAGATCTCCATTAAGCTCATAATATCTCTTTAGCAATCTTTCAATCGCTACTGTGCCTAAGTTAGTCCTCAGCCTTTTGTGGGACACGGCAACTAGTCCAAAATAAAAATACAATTTGGGACACCACCAGTCTCTCTACACGAGTTCCTACTACATAGTAGTACCACAAATAGTTTTGTTAAATTACTTAAGGAAATTTTCACTGGTGTTTCAAAATTATGCTGGTACAATAGCCCTGTGGCGTCTCTCGTAGGAAAATGTTCTGATGTATGAAGAAAATGCCAGTACATTTTTTCTGTAGGATGGCTACACAGATATTTTTCACTGATGTGTCAAAATGCGAATGGATCAGTTCGACTAATTCAAAAGATTTGTTAAGAGAGTAATTACCGCTTATATTTTTCATGTTCCATTGTTTTCTCCCGACAAACTTATTACGGGGTCACTCGAGGGGAGTTTTCGATTTTGACTCATCTCCCCGGGTTGTCAGAAAGCTTGTTTTTCCGTTTAGAGTGATTTTCTGGGACGGCCGGGAAAATCATTATTTACTCATAAGAATTGTATGCTAAATTTCTATTTCCCGGCCGTTGGATTCGAAATTTGCTGTTTGGAACGGAAAAAGGGGCAGTTTTTCCGTTTTCCGTGTCACTATAGTTTCGGCCTAAGAACGAAAATCGTGATGAAATACATCCATTTTTTCCTAACCGCGGCGTCATGCTTCTACTTTCGTTTTCAGTTCTTCCAAGTACTGCGATATTACGAATTGCAAAAGAACCCATCTGACCCTAGTTGGACCCCATCGTTGTTGTTGACTCCAGACCAAATGAATATATCGGTATCTTTATTAGGAATTTTGCTGGTAGGGAAGTCAGATGTATATGCTATACATAGATGGTTATACAGACATGCTTGCTTATTTGAAAGATTGGTGGTAATCGATGGTTCGGAAATAGAGTGGGTCGGAAACTTTTTGAACACTTTTTCCCGAGTGCCTCATAGCTTCAATGGACTGTGTGAAGGAGAAGTGTTCATTCTGGAAGAAAGGAAGCTGAATATTTCACATGTAAACGACCAGACACTTAGAGCCCCAGCCATGTCAATTTTGGGGCGCCCAGTTGGTTCTTGGATAATGATATGCCATGTAGATGAGTTTTGGATAATGGATCCAAGAAAATTGATTCAAAAGACAATACATGACAATCGTGAGGTAAATTTGATTCGACCTAGAGTTCTAACGGCCAGTCCCTTGGAAAGTGAATATTTGAAGGCAGTGGAAACGTTGGGAAGCAGTCCTGCTCTTGTACGTAGTGGATCATTTTGTATAGAGTCGGTTGGTAGATGGGTTCATCATCGTTTAGCTCCTTCTGGACTGGGTCGAATTGGTTATTCTGAAAATCGATTATTCAAGTGGCAAGAAGGAATGCATTGGGGTACCAAGACTCATTCATGGGTAGTTCCTGACTATGCAGGTAAAAAGAAAGGGTACACGACACGACGTATCGGTGTATACGTCCATTTCAAGTTGCACGACTTCTCAAAGAAAGCGATACATTGGAATGGGTCCTTTTCCGCGTTTTCAAACTCCGAACTAAAGACTGGCATTGGGAACTATTCTTCTGAAGGGTGGATGGGCTCCTTTTTGGATTTGTCGTTCCCACAGGCATTAAGACGTTTTCCACCGCGATCACTTGAAGAGGCCATCGCTGAAGTCTGTTCTTTTCCAAAATACTTTTCTTCATGCAACATAGGATGGGGTCTCAATTTCAGCTTCACCTGAAAAAAAGCAATCGCAGTCAGGGTTGTGGTTAGATTTAATGAGGTACACAATATCACAGTACAAGTAGCTTCAAGAGTTCTGGTAGCTTTGGCCTGTTCACCTGGAAGACAATATGTGTTAGAATAAAGCATTTTGGAGAAATTAGGCCAACACTTTGACGACTTCAGAATTTTCAAATTACTTACATGAATTCTGATCCCATTTAGTCCGATGTAGGCTTGATTCGGGTCAAATCTACGGATGATTCCCATACTTCTAGAACTGTAGAGATCCAAAAGATTGATTGGCGTGTAGTTATAGGATTTTTACCTTGATCTGACTGTCATGGGGACTCAACAAACCGTTTCACGAACCGACAGCATAGACAGCACCTGAGATGAAAATCCCAAAATCTTTGGAACCAGACCATGTAAAGATGTCCCAACAAAGCACCAGCATAATTTAGATACAAGTAGCGCCTATCATGACTTGCTATCCTGTGATATCCTCGTGTGGGGCCCTATGTGGGCTGCAAAGAGCGACTCGACAGAAAATGTAACAACGAATCAGGTTGAAAATCACATCTTACCAGGAACGGCCGGGAACGGTGGTCGGAGTGGTCGGCGAAACGTTTGGGGAGAGACTGGAAAAGGAATCTGAGGGTTGCGGAATTTCAAAAAAATTGGACATTCGAAAAAACGGTACGATTCAACTTGCCAGATGAATAAAAAAGGCTGTCTTCTCTTTCGCAGGAGTGAAAAAATTGGCCAACAGTTCGTCCATTCTGTTCCGGTGCCACCAACGTGAATCATGTAATAAGTAGTGGAAATATCTGTTATTCAATTTACTGCAAATAGCCGCCGAGAGCGCAATGACCGGCTGAGGGGCGTTCTTAACAAAAAAGCAAAAATGCACCACGCGACTCATTTGCACCACGGCAGAATTTGGTGCATATTCGACCATTCCTAACAAAAACGGTGCCGCATTACCGGCCCCGTGCGGCAGTACCGGCCCTGCGTACAATTCTTTAAGTAAACACATATAGATGCACTAAGGTGCGGTCAATTTTTTCCGCGACACGCAACAACAACAAAACAACAACAACAAGATGCTCGATTTTGCTCTTGATGACGATTACGACACTGCTTTATTTTTTACTCTCGCGCATTTAACACAACAACAAACGAGAAGACCCAAGTATCCAACCGAACGGGTCAATTGGGAAGAACATCTTCAGAAAGAGTTGTATCAGAACTCGTTTCATAGGACATCCAATGATGTTTATAACTTTCACGACATCTCTCAGCTCAGGATTAGGATTGAGATGGCGTTCGGCCATCTGACTAACAAGTGGAGAGTGCTGTGCAGACCGTTGGGAGGGAAGCTTGCTAGGCGGTCACAGGTCCTCGAAGTTTGTGCCAGGCTTCACAATTTTGGAATTAACGAAAGGATACTTGGTGAGCACGAGCAAGAAGAAAGTGAAGAAACGGAAATGTCTGCCAACACTTGTTTTGACTCTATGGAACTTTCCCCAGCAGGCCTGGGATATTTACCCACACTGCGCCCTTTTGAGCAAATACCCGGGTCTTCAGCAATGCGGAATTTATTGGTGGATCACATTAGGGCTTACGGATTGACACGGAGTCAACAAAATGTTGCAAGAAAACGTGAACACGAAAAAACGTTCGATTTTTGCGAGAAAAACAGTCTTATGTAGTAATGTCTTATTTAGTAAGAAGGTCTATGTCTCTTCATCATCCGTGATTTCTTATTTAGTACTTTGGTTTATACCTCTTCATCATCCGAAACGTCTGATGTCTCGAAACGCAACTCGAGCCTTTTGATTGGAGAAGACACTGGACTTCTTGCGTCCTCAAGGACGTTGTCCCTCTTCTTTTCCACAACGCGGTAAGACTTGCCCAACATGATGTCTGACCTTTCCAGATCACATAGTAGATCTTTCATACGTTCTTTAGTGCGCTCATCTCCAAGATTTACAGCAAGATCTCGCATCTCCTCAGCACAAATGGTCATAACGAACCAATATATAGTCCCAGAACTTCGTACAACAGGGGGCAGTGTTGCAGGATTCCTCTTTGCTGTAGTTATGGGTGCGACTTTCCTCTTGTGGCGGTCATGATTGTTGTCTTGGCAATACATCTCATCCATGTTCATTTGTGAGACAAGTCTTTGTTTTGCAATCATATCACAAAGAACTCCCTTCCTCTTTCTATTATAAGAAGACACTTTGAGGTTCTTCCCTACGACGCGACAGTCAGAGGCTATGAGATCGGCTGCGGGAATACCTTTGATTGTGCAAAGGCATTTGTCTTATTGTTGGGTATGCAATCATGTAAAGCAACTGTGTTTTCATCAGAGATGACATACCGGAGGCAGGTAAGCATTCTCAGTTCAGGATTCCAACAATTTTGATTGGTAAATATTTTTTTGGGAGCACGTGCCAAGTCCATGATGCCG